GAACCGGGACGAACCAGAACCAGACTGGAACCGCCGGTTCTCTGGCCGGTTAGAACCGCCGGTTCGAACCGGCGGTTCTAGCTGTTGTAAACTGTCAGACCTGTGTAAACTGTCAGACTGGTTTTTTTTTTTTTTAAATTTTTGTTGTTGAAATCTCTTAATTACCCCTCCCAACAGCATAAAACGGCTACATAACGTCAGTTTCAAGGGTATTTTTGGAAAAAATGAATTTTTAGATTATTATAATTACCTCATTTTATTTACAAATTCATTACAAAAAAAATCTCAACTCTCTCTACTGTACTCTCTCTACAATATACTACCACTTCTCTACTTACTCTCTCTTACCAATATACTACACTCTACTCTAATTTATTCATTTATTTTTCTCTTATTCTCAACAGACCTCTATGTAAGCAATTATCTCTCTCTAATTTTTTATTCAATTTTCCAAATTATATTATTATCATATAATGGCAAGTAAGTGGAGGAAACTCAAATTCGGGTAAGGGCAAGGGAAAAATTGGAGAATCATCTATCCCTACAAACGACATCTATGATATGATTCCCGACCAATGTAATTTTGAGGGTTTTCCAAATGAAAATTTGGATATTCCAACTCAAGAATCCGAATTTAATGAGCAATTTTAAGAAGATGAAGAGCAAGAGCAAGAGCTACGAGCAAAAATTGTTACAAGAGCAAGATAAAGTTCCGACATATTCTCCATTCATTTCACAAAAAAATATTCATTTCACAAAAAAATTCAAAGGTGACAAAATATTCGATGTAATTTGCAATTATTGTGGAAATTCTTATAAATTTAAACAATCGGGCGGCTATGGATCATTTTGGAAGCATTTGGAGACAAAACATCCAACAAAAACAGGAGTTGATCGGTCTCAAATACAAATTTCAGGGTACGCATCTTCTAACATTTCTTTATTTCAATATTCTGAAAAAAAAATAAAAAGAAGAATTAGCAAAAATGATTTCTATGGAACATTTATCTTTTAGTTTTGGTGAAAAAGTAGGTTCTAATCAATATTGTCAAAAAGCTTTAAATCATTCTGCTAAAAGAGTGCCAAGAAATACTGTAAAACGAACTATTATTTCTTTGTATAAAAAAGAAAAAAAAAAGTTTGAGCTTTTATTTTCTGAAATGAAAATTCGTGTTTCAATTTGTTGTGATATTTGGAGTGATCATTGGCAAATGCATTCTTAAATGGGCATTACATGTCATTGGATTGATAATGATTGAAAAATTCAAAAAAGAATTATTGCATTTCGTGCTTTTGATGATAAACATACTGCAAATAATATTAATATTTATAGAATAATTGTTTCAATTTTAGATGAATATGAGTTGACAAAAAAAATTTTTTCAATTTCATTTGATAATGCTTCTGCTAACACTGCAAATACTAGAATCCAATTTTGAACTTAAAAATTCGTGACCAATATTGGTGGGAAAAATTTTTTACCATATAAGATGTGCATTGTCATGTGTTTAACATTTTATGTTACGAGATGGTTTAAAAATTCTTGATCTTTATTTCTCCAATCTAAAAAAAGCTATTTACATATTTATGGAACATCCCCAGATTGATGAAAATGATTGGGGCTAATTTTGTAAAGAAAAATAATAAAAAAGGCCAAACGTTTTTTCTAAGGGATTTGTTCCCAACTCGTTGGACATTCAACATATGATTATAACGAGTCCTTTTCTTATGAAGACATTATTATTGCTTTTTTGTACTAATAATATTGAGATTATTATTTCATCCACCAATTGGGAGAGATTTAGTGCAAATTTTAGATAATTTTAAACAATTTTTAATCGATGCTACTATAAATTTAGTGGGGTTTATTATCCCACATTCTAATTTATTTTTACCTTGCTTATTAATATTGGTTACTGGCACTTCAAAGAATTTCAAAAATGATGATTCGTTTATTAAAAGATTGTATTTTATTCAATGAAAAAAATGTTTTATTCTTATTTTAAAAATATACCATTTTATCTTGTTCTATTGTATATTGTTCTGAGGTAGAATGGAAATTTTATGTGATTAATTCTTGACTTTATTATTGAGATATTAAATCTTTATGTCAGGGAAGTAATGTTTTAATTATAATGTAGACCTCAATGCCATTGAAGTTAACACAAAAACTATTATAGCAATTAATCATAATTGACATTTGTTCAAGTTTCTGTTCATGCTACTTCCTACTTCTACTTTTTTATCTTATATTCAACAATTTCCAACACAAATGGGGGTTAAGTGGGTGTTTGGTATGTTGCGCTCACAAGTTTTACTTACAAGAAAAAAACAGGGAATCACCAGTTTCTATTTTGGAATTTGTAATTTATCTAACCACTTCTTTTGAGTTTAAGGTGATGGATTACTGCAGATTCACTGATATTATACCAATTCTTAGATTGGTGTAGTCGTCAGCCGCAAATACTTTTCCAATTTCTATTTCCTCTTGCAAAACAATTTTAGCCACAGGCTTCGGGTCTCCAACATTGTGCGGTCTCGCTTTGAACCAGTTTTTTAGTCCAAGGAGGAAACATACTGAGAACCACCGATTCGTATTGCACCCGATTCATTTTAGAGCCACAAGCAATACATGGACCATGATTGGGACCAAGGGCCCCGAACTAAGAGGCCCAAGAAAATCCAAAAAGAAAACTGGCAGACATTTATTTGATTTATACGAATGAGTCTTCAACGGAACATCAACCGGTTGTTGCAAATAGCGATTTAAAGGTAAAATGAGCTCGTCATTGGCTTGAAGGTAAGTAAGAAACTACGTAGGCCTTTGACCGATTTCTCTTAAACCCCAAGAGATACGTAGGCAACTTCAAATTTTTTTTTAAAACAAAAAAACACAATTAAGTTCAAGGCCCTATTTTTTTTGTTAAATTATGTTCAAACTTAAAAAAAAAATTCAGTTTGAAATTTTTCTTTTTAAAAAGTACTTATGTTAAAGTTTCAAGTTGCTTTAAAAAAATAAATTTAATTTGAACTTTTTTTATTTATTTTTAGGTGTTATTTTTAATTTTTTGATGTTCTAAAATAATTTTTTTTAAACGGTCTTCAAAATTCTAAATATTCTAGGCTGTACTTTCTTTTAATTCTTTTTGTTCATAATTTTTTAAAATTTTTTAGGTGTATTTTTTAATTTTTTATGTTCAAATAATTTTTTTTTAAACCGGTCTTCAAAATTTAAAATTTAAAATTATGCGATTCGCATGAAAACCGATCGGAACTGTCGATTTTATAACCAGATCGAAACCGGAACCAGAACTAGAACCGAACGGTTTCAAACTGAAATTGAAATCGGACCTTTTCGGTTCGATTCCAATTTTAATTTTTCTGGAACTGGAACAGCTGGTTCCGGAACCATGGCCAAGGCTACTTATAGACAAGAGGAGTACTTTCAACCCTGGACAGGTGCAATTTTGTTTTCATTTTTCTTTCCTTGTTTTTCCATGTGTGACGCGTGTAGAGGTAAACTGTTTGCCACCTATATGTCTCTTTGCGTTTTCTTTTACTTTTTCTCTCATTTTTTGACTGCATGTTTGCCACCTATATGTTTCTTTGAATTTTTTTTTTTTTACTTTTCCCTTCATTTTTTGATTGTGATTTCTTCTTTCTTTTGTTTTCGTTTTACAGCGATTCATCCTCTCTTTCTTTTCTTTTGGTTTTCCTATAAAATTTTTTTTCTTTGTTTCTTTGCATTTTCTTTTTCTTTTTCTTTCATTTTTCATTATGATTTCTTCCTTTTGTCTCTCTTTTCTTTTCGTTTCTACAATTGATCTTCCTCTCTTTATTTTCTTTTGGTCTTCCTGCATTTTCTTTAGATTTTTTCATAGTCATCGCCTCCAGCAACAAAAAATCGGAGAAGAGTCTTTCGGCTTGCGTCAGACCAAAATAGAAATTTCCAGCTTCTATTTTTTCAGTTTCTAAGTTATTTTGGTGGAGCCAAGATGATAAGGAAGAACTGCACCTCACTTGACTGGGTAAGTCATAAATCGTCCATTTTGATTTGAGAATTCACTTTCCTCGATATTTCTTCCTCGATATTACCAGATCTCGGAGACTGGAGGGTGATGAAAATGGATTGCTGCAGATTAGTTTCATTGAATTTGATTGTCTATACAGGGGAAAACCTAAAAATCAGGTTTGTAATTGATTGTATTTATTTCTCATTCATACGAGTGACTGAATTTCAGATACTAAAGTTTGAGTTTTTTGCTTTACGATTTTTTTTCAATGGACGGAAACTGACATAGCATTGCCATTTTTTATCATATTTATATTTAAAGATGTGAGTTAATTAAATACATTGAATTCATTGCAACACAAAATAAATAGGAATGAGAGGTTAGATGATTCGTTGATTCTGAAAATAGTTTCATTTGAATCTGATTCTATACTGGGAAAAACTAAAAATTCAAGGTTTGTATAGATTTGTGATATTTCTTCACAATCGAGTGTTGAATTTTTCGTACGGTAAAGTTTGGCTTTTGCTTTTAGATTTTTTTTTCAATGGACGGAAATGACATAAGAATTGCATTTTGTTTGGTTTTGCTTTAGATTTTTTTCAATGGACGGAAATGACATAGATTGCATTTTTTATCTGTTTAATTTAAAGATGTGAGTAAATTAAATACATTGAAATTCATGCAAAACAAATAATAGGATGAGGGTGATGATTCGTTGATTGCTGCAAATAGTTTCATTGAATTTGATGTTATACTGGAAAAGCTAAAATTAAGGTTTGTTTGATTGTATATTTCTCACATCGAGTATTGAATTTTAGTACTAAAGTTTGGTTTTGCTTTAGATTTTTGTCACTGGACATAAATGACATATATTGCAGTTTTAATCTGTTTAATTTCTGAGTGTTTATGGTTATGCATTAAACAGGCCCCAATACATTTCGAGGCATTGCACATTCTATAAATGCAGCCTATGGCTTGGTACGCTCTAAAATGACTTAGGTTTATTTCCTTGTTAATATAGCTGAATGATTGCTTTATGAGTTAAAACTGTATACATATATTGATCCATTAGTTAAAAGGTAATCCCTTATCTAATTATTAATTTCGTTTTATTTTTGTATTTTAACTAGTTAAGTTTATCCCAATTCTCTCTTGGGGTTAACTTTTGATTTTGAGACATTCTTTCTTGATCAATTTGATTCCTTAATATGGTTTTATAATTTTTTAGCTTATTCATTCAGTTACAGTAGCATGGAATAGAGCTCTTATTTATGCAATCAACCAGCTATTAAATGAGTCAGCCACGCTTTATTTTATTTTTTAGATTTTTTTCTTATTTTGTTATTTCTTTCTTTTTCTTTCTTCTTTCCTGCGTTGGTTTTCTTTTTCGTTTTGCTTTCTTTCCTGCGTTTGTTTTCTGCTGTTTCTTGCGTTTGTTTTCTTCTCTGCTCAGCTTGGTTAGGTAAGTTTCGAACTTCTTTTTTGTTTTTCTTTGTTTCTTTTTTATTTTATTCCCTTTCTTTTTTTTCTACTGTTTTTTCCCCTTTCGTTTGTATTTTCTTTGCTCAATTTCAAAGAAGGGCAAGGGAGAGGAAGCGGGATTTCACAGTAGAGGTAAGTCATAAATTTGCTTTTTGAAGTATTTTTTTCATTTTGCTTTGTTTCCTGTGTTTGTTTTCTGCTGTTTCCTGCGTTTGTTTTCTTCTTTGCTCAGCTTGGTTAAATATGTTTCGAACTTCTTCTTTGCTTTTCTTTGTTTCTTTTTTGTTTTATTTTCTTTCTTTTTTTACTGTTTTTTCCCTTTTGTCTGTATTTTCTTTGCTCAATTTCGGAAAAGAGCAAGGGAGAGGAAGCGGGATTTCATAGCAGAGGTAAGTAAGAAATTTTTTTTTTTTTGCTTTTCGAAGTATTTATTTTTGTTTCCTGCGTTTGTTTCTTTGCGTATTTGATTTTTGTTTTTTTTTTTTTGGTTTCATTTTTATTTTGTTTACTTCCTTCTTTCTATCATTCTTTTTTTGTTTTGTGTGTTTTTTCTTTGCTGGATTTCAGAGAAGAAATAACTTGATACTGATTTTTGTTTACTTCCTTCTTTCTATCATTCTTTTTTTGTTTTGTGTGTTTTTTCTTTGCTGGATTTCAGAGAAGAAATAACTTGATACTGATTAACTTAGAAAATACAAGTTGATGAAAAGGAAAACAAATTTATAGAAAACAAAAGTTAGGAATATTTTTATCTTTAACAAATAATTTTAATCAATACACATAAAATGGTAAGCTATTGAAAATTTAGAACATTCTGTGACAAAAACATTCTAATTAATTTGCTGGATCGATCTTTGTTGTTTTGTTGGCAAATCCAGCAGTAGCAGTGAAATTTCTTTTGTTGTAGATCGAAATTTTGAAAGCGATCGTGTGGAACCCTTGAGCAATCGCCTTTCGGAGAAAATCGAGCTATAAAGTGCTAAGCTGGTATATTACTTCTCTATCATTGGTGTTCCTTTTTTCAACAGATATCAGAGTTCTCATTGTTTTGAAGCTTCCTTAGTTATTTACCAGGTTAAGGCAACTGTAGAAAATGTTGATGGAGCTGTTCGAGAGCTTCCTGATGCCAACTTGGTAAGGTACTCTTTTCATTCGAGAGCTTCCTGGTGCCAACTTGGTAAGGTACTCTTTTCACTAGACTCACAATTAGTTTATATATTTTCAGAGATTATCACTCTCTCCTTTTGGCTATTTCTGAGTTTTCAATTTTTCTTTTTCTTTTATATGATAAATAGTGAAATATAATGACTACCAACTTTGCAACTTTTCCAAAATGAATGAAATATAAATGTGAAGGAGGTTAGGTTGTCTGAATATTATAAAATTCTGATTTATCATAGTTGTCTGAATATTATAAAATTCTGATTTACCATACAAAAATATGATAAAAATTTACAATTTAACCATAATAAATAGGACCTTTATTTTCTTAAATGTATAGTTGAAATTTCAATGTATTCTTTCCTAAGCAGTTAAAAGTTAAAGATTATCAATGAAATGCTTATATTGATATTTTTTAATTGTTACCAAAATAACTTATTGTTCTTGAGAAATTGTATTGCATATGGTTCTTACAACTTATATAAAAAGAAATATTCTAGAGACTAGAAGATTTATGGGCAATCCACTCTCAGCCTATCCATCCACAGCCTCACAAAAGGGACAATCATTCTTTGGATGGCAATACAGAAGGTGACAAGTTCTTTAAGTATTTTATGGTATTCATTTTGTGGGGATAAAAGAAAAAAAAAATTATACTAAAGCTATTTGAAACTATAATTATCTTTCTGTCTTCGCATATCACATCCCAAGGTGAAAAAATAGTTTCGGAACATTTCAAGCCCATAAGAACTTTGGGTTGTGGTGATACTGGCAGGTAATACTATGGCACTTCCAGTTCATGTTCTTGAATTGCCATTTTCTTGGTTTGTTTCAGCTATAGTTTGATTGGATTTCAATTTTTAACATTGGTTGTGTATTTTTCAATTTTTAACATTGGTTGTGTATTTAATTCAGTGATCATTTGGTGGAACTGAAAAGTACAGGCCAACTGTATGCTATGAAGGCAATGAAAAAATATCTATGATGCAGAAACGTAATAAGGTTTGCATAATAAAACTTAAAATTTTCCTGTTATGCAATTCGCATGCATTTGATATCTTTGAACTATATCATTGAAATTAATCTACTGGTGCATAGAGCATGCATTGAAAGAAAGATTGTTAGAGTTAAGAATGCAGCAATCCAATCACAGAAAGAGCTATAAAAGGAATAAGAACAAATAAAAGAAGAATAGGAGGGACTTGTATTGACTGTATCTAGTATTTAGATTGAAGAAACAAAAGAGTAAGGAACAAAAGAACAAAAGAGCCAAACAATTAAAAAAGATGATGGTTGCAAGCAACCCCCAAGAACAAGCCCGTAGTAGAATACCTTGCTGCAATATACTGAAGATTCCAAAAGATGCAAATATAACAAAAGAGTAAGGAACAAAAGAACAAAAGAGCCAAACAATTAAAAAAGATGATGGTTGCAAGCAACCCCCAAGAACAAGCCCGTAGTAGAATACCTTGCTGCAATATACTGAAGATTCCAAAAGATGCCCCCCTACTCTTGCCAGTAGTCTCTATATAATCTCTTTATAACTAACTATGTTGACCTGACAGTCTGCCTTGATCTCCAATCTTCATAGTGCTATTTCCATTATTATCCCTTGTTTTTTTAATTCTCCTTGAGTACACCTTATAGGGTCTTAGGCCATGATCCACAGCTCTATCATTACTTCCCTCTGAGAGAGTAGCCTTGTCCTCAAGGCTGAATTCAGGAAATTGGCCCCACAGATCAGATTCATCAATCCAAGTTGCTTCCTCTTTTGTCTGACCTTACCATTGTATAAGGAATTGTTTGACAGGTTGCTAATCTTTCATTATAGTACGTCGTTGGTAGATTTTGGCCGGTTGAAGTAAGCGACCTTCTGGGCATTCAAAAGTAGTAGGTAGAGTGTCAACCACAGGATGTGCACCAACAACTTTCTTAAGTTGGGAGACATGGAAGACAGGTTGAATTTTTGCATCCGAGGGAAGCATCAATTTATAAGCCACAACTCCTATTTTCTCGATAATCTCAAATGGCCCATAAAATCTGGCAGCCAGTTTGGCATTAATTCTGGAAGAGACAAAGTGTTGGCAGTAGGATCGAAGCTTGAGGAAGACTTTGTCACCAATGGAGTAAGTGACATCTCTATGATTCTTGTTCGTACATTTCATCATCAGTTGCTAGGCTTTATGCTGATTAAACCAAAGTAGGCGAAGGATTTCATCTTTGTCTTAGAGATGTTGGGATAAAGCCATCACTCTAGATTCTCTATGCGGTTATTGTTGAAGGGTAGGTATTTTACGGCCATATACAACCTCAAAAGGAGTTTGGCGGATGGCACTCGGTAGTTAGTAGTATACTAATATTCCGCCCAACACAACCATTTAGACCATGATTTAGGTTGTTCTGAGGAGAAACAATGCAAATAAGATTCCAAGCTCCAGTTTAGAACTTTCGTTTGAGGATGGTAAGACGAACTGAATTTGAGCTTAGTCCCTTGAAGACGAAATAATTCTATCCAAAAGTTGCTCAAGAATAAAGGATCTCTGTCACTAACCATGCTGCTTGGAATGCCATGAAGTCGGACAATTTCACGGATATACACTTCAGCCACTTTAGCAACTGTGAAGGGTTGCTGGAGGGAAATAAAATGGGCATACTTTGAAAGGCAATCAACAACAATAGGAATGCAGTCGACACCATTCGATATCGGAAGACCAGTGATAAAGTCAAGTGCAATATCCTCCTATACCTAATGTGGAATCAGCAGGAGCTGCAACAGACCAGCCGGAGATTGTGCCTTATATTTATTTTTTTGGCAAATGATACAAGAAGCCACAAAACTTTTGATCATGGTCATCATGTCTTTCCAGAAAAAATTGGAAGCCAATCTACAGTAAGTGCGATATGCACAAGAGTGCCCTCCTTGAGCAGTAGAATGGAACTCAGCTATGATCTTGGGTATCCAGCCAGAAGAAGGTAGGACTAACCTGCCTTTGTAGAAAAGACGACCATGGATCAAAGAGTAGTGAGCAGGAGTAGAATTTTTCGCCGATAAAGCAGAAATAATTTGAGAAAGGTGCTGGTCCTACTGAATTTTTGCATTAATTTGATCCTAATCAACCCATTGAGGGTTAGAAATAGCCTGAAGACATAGTTCCTCATCCTTGAGAGATAAGGCATCGGCGACCTTATTAGTCTTTCCAGGATGGTATTCAATAGCAAAGTCATAACCCAATACTTGGCAGACCAATATTGTTGAGCTGGTGTGGACACTTCTTGATGAAGGAGATGGGGAAGGCTTCACTGGTTAGTACAGACTGTAAATCGTCACCTTATCAAATATGCCGCCAATGTTAAATTGCCAATACCATTGCCATTAACTCATTTTCATAAGCATTTCGTGCCGTGGCTGGATTATTGGTAGCCTTATTGAAATAGGCAATAGGTCGATCTTTTTGCATTAGTACAACTTCAACTCTGGATTTCGATGCGTCAGTTTCGATTATGAAAGATTGAGAAAAATTGGGCATAGCCAGTACAGGAGAGGAACTAATGGCACGTTTCAGCATGTTAGTGGAATTTTGAGCTTGAGAGTTTCATTGAAATTTATTCATGGCTTCCTTTTTCAGTAATTGAGTTAAAGGCATGGCTATGCGGCCATAATCAATAATAAAACAGTGATAATACCCGGTCAGGCCTAGAAATCCACGAACTGCCTTTATAGATTTAGGAGTAGGCCAATTGAGAATACTAGTAATTAATTATAGAGGGCTCTATGGAGATGCCATTGGAGGAGATGATGTGACTAAGATATTCAACAGATAACCTGCCCAAAGAACACTTCTTACCATTCAAATGCAGTGAATGATTATGAAGAAGTTGAAATACAATTGTCAAGTGATGGATATGATCTGCCCATGATTTGCTATATACTAAAATATCATCGAAGAAGACGAGTATAAACTTGCGCAAGTGAGGGTGAAAAACATCATTCATTACAGCCTGAAACGTCGTCGGAGCATTGGCAGCACAGAGGGCATGACAAGAAACTTATAATGACTTGAGTGAGTTTGAAAAGCTATTTTGTAAGTGTCAGGAGGAGCCACCCTAATTTGATAAAACCCTTGTTTCATATCCAATTTAGAAAAATAGTAAGCCCATGCAATTCATCTAGCAACTCTTGAATAACAGGGATAGGATACTTGTGGGGAATTGTTGCTCTGTTACGTTGGCGATAATCGATGCAGAAGCACAAACTGCCATCGTTCTTTTTAACTAGTAGAATAGGACTGGAGAAAGGGTTTGAACTAGGCTTGATGACACTAGTAGATAACATATCTTTAACTAATCTTTCAATCTCATCTTTTTGTAAGTGGCCATATCTATAAGGTTTTATAGAAATCGGACAATGGCCTGGCTGAAGTATAATTTAATGATCTTGAGAACGATGTGGGGGAAGGTTAGACATATCTTGAAACACTTGCTTAAATTGATCGATTAATTGTTGCAATTGCTGCGATTGAGCAGGAGAGATTGAATTATCATTGGAAATAACATAAGTCTCCTGGGTGGCCAACAATAACAAGGAAGAGAAATCCAAGTCTTGGAACTTAGTAATAGACTTTAGAGAAACTGGCGAGTGAGATAAAGAAGGATCCCCTGGAAGTTTAATAGGCTCACCATTGTGGAGGAATTTCATGGTCATTGTCTGCCAATCAACTCGCACCTCACCCAATGTCTCTACCCTCACCATTCCCAAAATAACATCTATTCCACTCAAGGGAAAGACATAAAAATCTCCAGTAACCACAAGAGAACCCAAGGTGAGTTTCAAATGTCATCAAACTCCAGGAGATTGGAGCCGATGACCATCGCCTAATCTGACAAAAAATGGAGAAGTGGAACTGACCTCAAGATTCAGGAGTTGAACCAAATGTGAAGGTATGAAATTGTGACTGGCCTCGCTATCCACCATAACAGATAGCATCAGTGAACCAAATGTGGAGGTGGTTCGGGAGGGGTAGCATCATTGAGAATGATGGATGATTTGCCCTTAGCCATAGTCTGAAGTATGGTTGATTTTTGCTTGGTCTGCTTGAATGGTGACGAAAGATTCCTCAAGAGAGGCGACGCTCTTCTCTAACATCTCTACTCTTGAAGTATGGTTGATTTTTGCTTGGTCTGCTTGAATGGTGACGAAAGATTCCTCAAGAGAGGCGACGCTCTTCTCTAACATCTCTACTCTAGTTTCCATCTTGGTCTTTGGCATCCGGCAGGTCAAACCAAATTGTTAGAGTTAAGAATGCAACAATCTAATCATAGAAAGAGCTATAAAAGGAATAAGAACAAATAAAAGAAGAATAGGAGGGACTTGTATTGATTATATATCTGTGATTACAATTCCTGTATCTAGTATTTAGATTAAAGAAGCAAAAGAGCAAGTAACAAAAGAACAAAAGAGTATTTAGATTAAAGAAGCAAAAGAGCAAGTAACAAAAGAACAAAAGAGCCAAACAATCAAGAAAGGATATGGTTGCAAGCAACCCCCAGGAACAAGCCCGTAGCAGATTACCCTGCTGCAATCTACTGAAGATTCCAAAAGATGCCTCCCCACTCCTGCCAGCAGCCTCTATATAATCTTTTCCATAACTAACTATGCCGACCTGGCAGTCCACCTTGATCTCCAATCTTCATAGTGCTATTTCCATTACTATCCCCTATTTTTTTAATTCTCCTTGAGTACACCTTATAGGGCCTTGGGCCATGATCCACATCTCTATCAGAGATCATTTCACATCTAGATCATCCTATTCTACCCACATTGTACACTTTATTTCAGGTATTGTAATCACTACTTTTCATAAGTTTCCTTATATAAATTTCTGAAATAACCCAGTTGTCGAGTACGTATTTGCAGCACAGAAAGAACACCTCAAAATTTTCTGAAAGATTTATACTTTTATGTCACATTTATATGGGAAAGACATCAAATTTACCTAATTACATGCAGTATCTAAATATATATTTTCAATTGTACCATTTTGGAGATAGCTAAATTTGATTAATTTAATGTGTAAAGTTGTCACACCTTACCCTACTGTAAGACATGACATATGTCGCTTATAATATACTTTGTAAGCACTTAATTCTTAAACATACTTACTAAGTATATTATAAAGGACTTAAAACTTTTCATTCATTCATTTATATCTTGTAGAAACATAAATTTAGTTATAAGAATAAGTGTAAAACTTCTTTTGATTTTTCCACCTATCATAAAAAAAATGTCTTTTTAGTAATTTATTAGATATATGAAACATAACTTCTATTAAGCTTAATAAAATAGTTGAGTCAATGTGATTTCTTAAACATCGATTACATTATCAAAAGCATAAATGGTTCCATAACCCATAAATCTATGCATGATTTAATTACATACTGCAGTCCTTTACAAACATTAGATACATGATAGGAAGTAAGTACTTTTATAGAATACAAACTTTCAAATTAACACACTTGTAATTTACATGTATCTGCTCAAATATACATAACTGCTCTATTAATATTTAATACATCATACATATTCCAAAAAAGAAACCAAATATACAATAGTTACATTAGTAGCATACTATCTACATCAAACAAAAAAGGTCCTCTGCCTTTTCCTTTTCCTTTCCTTTTCTTGCGATAGCACAAAAGCAACTATTGCTAAGCATATTATTTAGTGGTATACTATTGTAAAACGAACACAATTTATCAAATCAAATTATACTATTGTAAAACGAACACAATTTATCAAATCAAATTTCTTTACAGGAATATAATGAATCAAGTATATACTCTTTCCATAACTTTTCTTTAAAATTGGTTGTTAAACCAAAGCAGTGTTTAGTAGGAAAATTTAGGATACTGTCTAAAACTAATAGTAAATAAACTTCTGCTTTTAGAAATAAAACAATGATGAATTATAATTCATAAACCCATCATGTTAAAAAGAATAAGGAAAACAATACCATTTCAATCATAAATTCAGTGTAGTCTTTATAGCTTTTATAGAGTCAATTCCAAGGGCCATTAGTGTCTAATGTGCACATCTAGACTTGCTATCTACAACCTCAATCTGTGATATGATTTCAACAGAAAAGGGAGCAATTTACAATCTTAACATGGAGGGAGAATTTCATATCAATCATATATCATTCAGTGATGATATCCGTATTCAATCTATCGTAATATCAACTTCAATAAATGAAGTGATATTCGGGGTAATAACCATATCTATATTCAGCTGTAAGACTTTTGAACCATTTCATTCATGTAATAATATCAAAATTACAATGGGCAACATTTCATTTTACAAACACTGCTAAAAACATTCAATCACGGCGACCCCTCATACTACATGTATCAATTGGCTAACATCTTCCTCTTTCAAAGTATAAGAATCATAAAATTCATTTGCAGATGTCATTAGGTCATATGATTTCAAAACAATCTTTCTTCTTTAAAAACTTATGAAATCATTAATACTTTTCATAATTATGATTCATAAAGTAAATCCATTGAAAATATTTTGCAAAATCAATCTCATTTTGTTTAGTAAAAGTAGGAAAGGAATAGTACACTAACCTGAGCTGGAAGGCTCCCCTAGCCTTTCTCATCTAGCAACCGCTCTCTCTTGAACTCCCTTTCTCTCAGAAGTTGTAGTATAAATCAATATTAACATTAACTCCATACTACACAATGTATACGCATACACTACCATAGGAATGCATATTAAGCATTAGAATGTAGTATTTATGCTTTTCTTTCATTTTCACCATGCTTGTCCAAGTGTCATATGACCTTAGATTTTTTTTTTTTTCAACCATGTTGTCCAAGTGTCATATGACCTTAGTTTAGGCCTGAAACAAACTTTCATATTCCAACATTAACCTCATCCATCGAAACATAAAAATAACAAATAAAACAATAGAAGTCAATGGCATACTAATTCATTAAATGTTCATGTAATGCAGGATTTTTCAGCAATTTGAGTAGCTTGCATTTCCATTGATATATCTTCGAATTTCCACATATTTTTTTGGCCCTGAAATTTGGTACAGCATGTTTCCCAACATCTTAGGGTATATCCTTCGTAAAATTTTCAATAAATTTTGTAAAAGCTCATAAATTTTGAAGCTCATTTGCATGGTCAGATGGCCTAATTATAGAATCAGAATTTCAGTTTTTCTCATGCTGAGCAGCCTGCATTGATTTAGTTATAACTCTATTTCCTTTTATCCAATGGACTTCCCTTTTTAACAGGACCTTTCCAACATCTCAACCTATTTCCATATAAAATTTTGTGAATTTTGAAGTTCATTTGCCTATTCAAATAGGCCAATTACAAAAGCTAATTTTCAGGCAGCCCAAATGCAACAAGTCCAAGAATGCTATGCTTGCTTAAGCATTCTTAACTCACTTTCATCACCAATTCATGCACCCAACTCTTCTATTACTTATATAAGATATATCAGAATCCCTAGTTCATGGAATATCAATTACAAACTCAAAATCATCCATCTTGGTGAATTATGCAAATTAGACTCTGAATTCATGCATAACTAGTTTTAAGTTTTAAATCATCTTAAATCATCTTAAATCACCTTAAAATCAATTCTAATCACTTCATCTTCACCAAGTCAGCATGCACAAGCAAGCACCTCACTTCAAAGTTCATGGAATTCAAAATATAATGCACAGAAAAGGAGGAAGTGAAGATAACTAACTTTTTCTTAAGAATTACTTGAAACTTCCTTGATTTTCACCTCCTTTTTGCTTGATTTTTGGTCAAAATCCTCCTCTCTCATTGAATGGTTTGGAATGAAATTACCGTTTTTCAGGCCTTTTGGAAAAAAATCATGCTTTATCGAGAAGTCGTCCTGTTTAACTCATTTTTAATTTCCTTTAACCTTTCAAATTGATTTGTAATCACCTTAATTACCATTTAATTAATATTAACATGCCCGATATATATTATTTCTCGTTATTCTAGGTTTTTCTTTGATTCGAGTAACCGAATTTATCGAAAAAGCTAGAATAGCAAGAACTACCAAATTGAGGGTACTACAAAAGTAATGCTGAATTAATTGTTAGTCCCAAAGGTTAAATTTTTCTCTCATTAAAGCACAATTTATTATGATAAAAAGTAAATCAAGGGATTTTTGTTATAGAGTAGATATCTCAAATCCACTGAGGAGGATGAACTAGATTTTTTCTTTTTTTTTTTTTTTGTTTATTTAAGTTATTACAGTCTGCCTCTTTTTGAAAATGGACTATTATGTCTTTTTTGAGAATGGAACTATTATGTATTTAAGCCCTGGGAAATGAAGAGAAGATAATAAGCTGCATATTTGATCTTCTTTTGAAAAGCATTGCCATAGAGAGCGACAATTATGGGAATAAATAGCAAACTAAATAATTCTTCAAACTGTTTTAAAAGTTTTCTTTAATGTGAGATTACAATTGCAAATCCATTAGGGTTTTTTTTTTTTTTTTTTTTTTTTTTTTTTTTTTTTTGGTAAGGGGTATCCTTTCAGCACCCATGATACTGCCGCTATCATTCTTCAGTGATACTCACCCCAAACTAAACTACAGTGACTGAAGATCGGTGCATCGAGGACGGAGGTGGCAGAAAAGAATAAAGAGAATAGAGAGGAAATTGAAGAGATGATAAACATTGGTGCTTTAGAGAAAAGGTAATTTTTCAATTATTTTTTATTTAGTATTTTCTTTGATCTTGTTTTACTTCTAAGTAGTTGTATATAATTCACTGTTTATATATTTTCAATTGTTTTACATTTTTTTTCCTATTTTCATTTACATGTGAATTCCTTAGAGGATTAGTGAGGTTTATCTTTATCTTTCATATGTTTATTTGAATGCATCTGAGTAGAATTATTGAATCGAATCTGAGTAGAATTATTGAATCGAAAAATCTTATCCTCCATTTGTAGTCTATGATATTTGTAAAGGAAATTATTGAATTATATTGGTGATAAGACTAATCTCCTTTGAAATGAAATGATTATGTGCCTTTATGCAGTGGAGAAAGTGGTAGTGAGGAAGATGATGATGAAGATATGGAAGTTGATACTTCCAAGCAGACTGATGAAGCAAAATGTTATGGTCCCAAATTTGGATCTAGTTATGGGTCTTTGAATTAGGGGAATCAGGTTTGAGATGGGTATCTTAGAAGGAGTTTTCTTCTCTCTATCAGTGGTGATAGACTTAGAGAGAATCTGCAATCTCCTAGAGCTCGTTAAGAGAGAACTCTACAATCTCTGGGTTTTAGGAACTCAAAACCTTTTCATAAAATTCTGCTTACATTTTGCTTGATATAAACAACCTTTCTAAACAACTAATGCCAATAGCTAAAAACTCCCACTACCCACTAATAACTACCATTACAATAATAACTGCTTAACCCACCCCATTAATACCTACTAACAAAGAAACTGATAATAAACATGTAAACACTGGAATAACTAAAATAAAAAACACCACTAAAATAGCAAAAATTTTTTTAAAACTATCCTAAGTCAAGCAAACGCCATAACATTACAACACCCCGCCCCCTCGAAAAAGCGCTTGTCCTCAAGCGCAAAGGATGGATGACATGCAAATCTTCAACTTGTAAAATGTGATGCAAATAAAATCCTTATTTTAACCCTCGTATTTTTCTGCAAAATAAGGACGCTATTTATTGCGCTTCTTATTTTAATTAAATTCCTGGATCCAAATGGCTCCTCTAATGTATCGTTTATTCATTCATCGAATTGCTTCTTCCCCACTTCCCTTCCCATTTAGAGGCACCAATCATAACAAGACCCTCTAATTGTGCTAACAATGATGTTTGATTATTTCTTTTTTTGCTCCACTCTATCTTTTATACCAGAAACTATTGAGACTTGAAACATTTGCTGGAGAAACTATACGCTCTGCGGCAGTTTTAGGTTGTTCCAATTTTGCCAACTTTCCTGAATTATTACTCATAGGTGGTCCAAGAACATCCAACTCTGTCAATTTGAAATAGTTTGTTAGTGCCCCTTTTAGGAGATTCTAGACGGCCTGAACCTACTGACCTTTTTGCTTTCGGTGCTTAACTTTTAGCACTTGAAGAAGTCAAGCCCCTTCTTTATGGATTCAAGTTCACAAAAGGACATGGCATTCCAATTTGGCATGAAGTTGTCAACCTTCTCTTACGGGTCCCTGTATTGGCCTGCTGCTCGGATAAGAGTAAATTGAAGAGTTTGGACGCTGGTCTTGAACAGATTCGCCCATAACTGTTGGGCTTTTGATTACCATTGTTATGGTCCCAAATTTGATCTAGTTATAAGGTCTTTGAATTTAGGGGTATAAGGTTTGAGATGAGTATTCTAGAAGGAGTTTCTTCCCTATATCAGTGGTGACAGACTTAGAGAGAATCTGCATCTCCTAGAGCTCGTTAAGATGAGGAACTCGTACCAAATTCTCTGGGTTTTAGGAAACTCAAAACCTTTTCATAAAATTTTGCTTACATTTTTCTGAGTATAAACAAGCCTTTAAACAACTAAAATGCAAAAGCTAAAACTACCCCACTACCCACTAATAACTACCCCTTAGCAATAAGTAACTTGCTTAACCACCCCATTAATACCCACAACAAAGAAACTGCATAATAACATAGATAACACTGAATACTAAGATAAAAACACACTAAATAGCAGTTAAAAAACCCAAGTCTCAAGCAGCGCCATAACACAAAACAAAGCATTAGCTATAAGCAGATGCACTTGGAGAACTTCCTAAGATAACAAGCCAATAACCAAATTTGATGACACAACAGATGGGCTAAAGGAATTTGGACTGCATAATTATAATGAGGATGGATGAAGGTTTTACTAGAACATATCTAGCTACTGTTTCTCTTTTTATGTATTATTTACATTTTTACTTCAAGAAATGATAGGACTTGATTATGATTGTTTGCTAAAATGGCAATTCTGTGACGTATTATAATTAAACCCATGGACTGGAGTTTTTTGATTCCATTGGAAATTGTTTTTGTTTATATGAAATTGATGTTTAGGAACTACAAAAAAATAACACAAACTGGAATACAACTAATTTGTTCATCTGTGCACCTCAGGCATTGAGCTATTCAGTAACAGGATTGGGAACCTTTACTACCAAAGCAATGATTATGGACCCGTATCTAAAGGACAAAAATGTAAGTTTGACTACTTTCTATATTTTGGATATAATTTCTTTATCTTTGGGGCTATTTTTCAGCTTTAAGCTAAATTAATTTTGAATTGTAGTCATTAACTTTAATTAGTTTATAATATGATTATAAAAAAAAAATTTTTTTTTCTTCTCAATTTGCATTTTGAATGAATTTCATGTTTTCTAACTTATTAGATTTATTTTTATTTCAGGAAACCATGTGTGTCTCACTAGGGACTCTTCGGATAAAAATTAAACATTGAAATGAAAATGAACCAGCCCATTCAATTAAACGAATGGGTTAAATAAAGAACACCGAATTTATTTAAATAAAAATCGCGTTAAAAACGGAAGCCTGTTCGATCGATTCTTTCCTTATTTTTTGAAAAAAAATCTTGCGTCCTCAGACTGGTGACTCCATTGAGATCGAACTCAGGAATCTTTGGGTTCAAGTAGAGAGCTGACTCGCAAAAGTTTGTCCACTTGTTCACAATTCTTTAATAATGCTATTAACTTTAAATTGAGTTTTACTTTTTGTACTTATAAGTTCATCATGCATTTATCTATTCTTTAATCTCTTTTCTACCCTAAACACTAAAGGTGATATTGGGTTGTTGATCCTTTCACTCTATTCGGACTATTTGGATCCGCTATTGATATACACCACTCATAAGTTCAAGTATCATTTGCATATCAAAAGAATTAGCACAATTCACTTATTACTATTTGTTTAAGACCCAAATCAAATGAGAGGAACAACAATTCTCGCTAATGGAACCCAAGACTTTAATTAAACCCGGACTAAAGCGGTCATTGTAATTGACCTAGTTTCTTCCTATTGGGTCCACCTTAATAACTAATGTTATGTCATTTCACTATACTAAATGCGAGAGAAGTCAATTCCAAAACCTCATGATAGTTTATAGGTCTAACCAATATGTCCTAGGGTTTAGGATTGAACTTTTGACCATGAATCGATTGTGTGGAAGATATTAAGAGTTGGTGACATTTCCCAAATTCCCTTCCCCTTTCTTTGTATATATTGCTGATATGTGTTATGCTTTATTCATTTATCACTTAATTTGTTTTATTCAAGCCATATAGATATATTCTATTATGGCTTAGATTCTCGACGTTCGAAGCGCTGAATGGGCAAGACTGAAGAAAAAGTGCTAGAAGCCAAAAGCTAGGCCAAACAAGCTCTTTTCCGAATGGTGACTACAAGGTTGAAGCCCAAATGCTAAGAGGGAAAGCTCCTCCGTCTGACACCAACTAAAGAAGGACCATCAGAAGAGGCCACATAACTTTTTGCTTAAAATTTAATGCAAGCCAACTTTGAAGCTAATGACTCTCTCCCTAGTGTGAGGCGCGATTCACGCTTATGCCGCAGATATCGCAAATCGCCTTGTAGAAATGGGCACTTCACACTAGAGGATTGCTAAAACCCAATATCAAAACCTCTTTTATCTATAATTTTTTCAAAGTTGTAAATATGTAGTTAGGGCTAAAAAGAAACTATCTAATGTAAAAAGTCAAACTTTTGGAAAAGTAATGAAAAGGAGACTAGTTTTAAGCCCCAAATATTGTAATGCCAAAAAAGAAAAAAAATCTGCTATGGTAATATAAAATAAAAAGAACCCTGCTTCAAGTTACTACACGCCTTGAGCGCAAAAAGAAAATGGATAAACAAAAAAGAAAAAATAATCAAAAAGTCATATAAGTATTTGGCTAGAAAATAGGGGCCATTTGATTCTTGTGAGTTCTCAAGAGCCCTCCTCTTGATTTTGGTCTCGAGTTAGTCATGATTAAAGCCATGATGGGAATATAACATTAGTTGCCCATTTTTGTATGCCATATTATAATTCGGCATCCACGCATGGCATGCATCATATCGTGTTGGCTCAACATTTGTTTTATTCAATCAAGATCAGATAGTGCCTCAAATGGAAAAAGCTCCATAAGAGCAAATTCAAATTGGATGTTAACAACAGGAAAATCGTTGTTAGAGTTGAAGAACCTTCAACCCCCTTTGACTCGCCTGATTCGACCTACAAGTTCTTTGGGGCTCTCGCACTGAGATGTGAAAACTTCCCAATTCAAGCTAAGTCTATCAGTTTCAACTCCATTTTTGTTGATAAAATGGTAGCTAGTATTCTTGTCTTTGAAATTAGAAGATGGTCGAGGAAGATAGTGCACTAGGCCTAAAAAAGCACTTATGCTCGGATAAAGGTAAGGAGCATGTGATGATAGAAGACGATGAGGCTGAGGGCGGAATTGATAGAAGAGAACAAGTAGACATCATGATGATCATGATGAAAGAGCTTGAGTTGAGAACATACCACTCCTTGTGACATACAAATGCCAAAGGTGGCCAAAATATGATGGCACAGGCGATCCTAAGACGCATATCCATGCAGTATAAAAGCAAGATAATGAGTTAGTGGGTTCTGCCATCAAGGGGAAATTCTAAAGGATGTTCCCCATATCCTTGAACCGGGTCTGCCTCAGACTTGGTATTTATTAACTTATAAAAGAAAGTTGAGAAGAGAGATTGGAACGAGCATTCCCACGGTTTTTCTTAAAAAGAGGCATTGCTTACAAACCTTCAGATAAGCGTCAACGTTGAGGATTTGGGAAGCTACTATGCAGAAAATGACGAGGACCTTTACCGATTATATGGCTAGGTGGAGAGGCGCCAAGGCACGCCAAATGAGGAACCGATCCTGACCAACAAAGAGCAGATCAATATCTTTATAAGGGACCTTGCCAAGCTTTTCGAAGAGAAACTATGTTGCATGCCCTTAATTGAATTCTCACACAGTTGATTTTGAGGTTGGGACGCCATAAGAAGATAACAATTTAGAGGAAGATAAGGAAAATATGGGACCTTTTCGGAAATTTCATAAAATTTGATTTCAAGGGTCGAGGTTCGTCTGAAGACCCCGAATGCCAAAAACAAGATACACAACAAATGCCACCTTAGAGAGCCACCAATGTGCCAAAAAAGAAAGGATTCTCCAACTTCAAACTCTTTTTTAAAAGTATTTGAAAAGTGAAGTCAGCGGGTTTGTTGTCAACCGCTCAACACTAAGTGAACCTCGTCTAGTACCTTTGCCAAAGGGCTTTGATCGCAATGCATATGTCATTTCACAAAGCCAATGGTCAAAACTACCAGTCAATGCCTTCATTTGAGACATGAGATCCAGAATTTGATTGACGAAGGCAAGGAACTAACCCAGAAAAATTAAAGGCCAAGCAACGAGGACTAACCCACTGTCGAATTTTCACAACATGCTGCCCTCCTAAAAATCTTTATATGGTTGAGTTGGAATAGACTCCCCAAGGAGTGATTAGCTGAATCCGGAAGAAGGAGGAGAAAGAGGAGAGAGAATTGTTTTTGAAACAAATCGTATATGATGCGTTTTTGAATGTATAGGATTGATAGCCGACGGAGAATGGGCTCAATTAGAACAAGGGAAGTTTAGGTAGGGAAGTGGGAGAGGATGAATAATGGAATCTCGTTGCTTTTGATGTCTGGACGTAGTTGAGGAAAGAGGAAGAAGCAAAAGCCGTGAACCATAATGACCCAGCGGCGGTCGAGTGTACCAACCTGATACAGTTAAAGCCAAGAGACGGAAAATGAGGAAAGCTAGGGCCCAATCGTTGCTGCTGAAGAAAGAATCTGAAGATGACGCGCTGGATAAAACAGTTAAAAAAGAACATAGCGAATGTAAGCATATGGGACCTGCCTTCTGACAAACTTGCTGAATTTTCATAAAATTAGAATTTCAATAGAATTCGCTTGTCATTCCTTTCAAGCTGATTCGTTTTAAATAAATGAGGTATCTCACAACTTGGGAATAAATTTTCTAAATTACCCACCCTAATTGATACCCATTGACACCTAATTATGGCTAACAATTACAAGCCTTAAATTAGCTCCCTAATTGATGTCATTTACAGCTATCTTACAACAGTATAGTCAGCCTTAATTAGCTCCCTTAATTGACGCTGTCTTGTTTATAGATTTGTGAACAACATCAGCAATTTTTGAAGAGTAGTGGAGATATATGAAGAGAAATGACCCATGTATCTATGGCCTCTCGAATGAATGACAGTTGACTTTGATAGTTTAGTGCGTTCATTGAAAAACTGTATTTGTAGCAATTTGCTATGGCCACTAGTGTTGTCAGCATGCAAAGCGAGTAGAATGAGGCTGAGGAAAATCCAATTTCAGCGAAGTAACCCACGTAACCAAAACAATCTCTAAAGCAAGTAGCGGACATAGCCCGATATTCAAACTCAATAGAAGATTTTGAAAACACGGTCTTGTTTCTTACTTTTCCTAGATTATCCAAAGAATCGCAAGAAACATACACAACCAGTTATAGAGCATCGAGTGTCTGGACAACCAGCACAATCAGCATCACTGTAAGTAACCAATGCGTACTGGAGAGCCAGTGAGGAAAGATAAACCTCGAGAAGATTGCCAAAGAAGATAGCGAATGATTCGACGAACTGACACCAGATATAAGTTGACGCGGATAAGTACTCATGACTTGAACTGACTTGCTGAACTGCAAAAGAAATATCGGCCTCATAATAGTTAGAATTCAAAACTGCAAACCTAATTGCCAATAAAGAGATGGATCAAGAATAAGATCTCTGTCTGACTATTGATACTTGACGTTTAATTCCAAAAGAGTTATCAATTGGATGAATCTTTGAAGGCCTGCTGAAGTAATCAAATCTGTAGTATAATTGTGTGATGGCAAAAATTATCCCCAGAACATCATAGTGAACTTCCAGCCCTAAGAAATATGTAAGTTGCACCAAGATCCTTCATATTAAAAGAAGTTGAAGAGATTGTTGGAATTGAGGATCGTTTGATGTAGTAGTGCTAAGTGATAATAATATCATCTACATAAACAAGAAGTAGTAGAAAACAAAACCAGCAGAACTCTGTGTGAAGGAACAAAAGAGGGAGTCATATTTACTTTCATGTAACACTCTCCGCTCAATAAGACCAACGCGCGATGCTACATTC